GGCCGGATGGGCGGATGATGGACGTAGGTCTTGGGATTTCGGGTTGAGGCTTAGTCAGGGTTTATGGGGGGGTTTCGGGCTAAGCTGCCAGGACTTGGGGCTTAGGGTTCAAGGCTCAGGCCCTGAGGCTTAACGTCTTCATTGCATCCTGAGCGCACCTTGGGTCTGCAGAAGGCCAAGGAACAAACAGAGACCTCGGAATAGAGATTTAGGGCTTGGGGCTTAGGGACTTAGGGTTTGGGGTTAGGGTGCTCGGTTTCAAAGCCTACAAGCCCCAAACCCTGCTTTTGATGAATGGGGTGTAGAAGGGGGACTCAACATCTTGGGGCAAAACAAGGGCCCTGAAACCCCACACCCTAAGCCCTAAACCCCAAAAACCCTAAACATCTGAACCTCACACCTTTAACCCCAACAAACCCGAAAAAGCCCCAAAAATATAAACCTCAACCCCACAACCCTAAACCCCAAAAATCCGAAACCCTGAGCCCTGACCCTAAACCCCAAAAATCCGAAGCCCTGATCCCTGAAGCCCAGAATGCTTCGTCGGGCGTGGGCCTCGGCGGCCTCTGTCTGCACTGCGGCGTCCACAAGGGCCTGAACAGGGCGGCTAGAGGGTGAAGGCTTCAGGGTTTAGGCTTGGGTTTAGGGTTTAGGGTTTAGGGTTTAGGGTTTAGGGTTTAGGGTTTAGGGTTTAGGGTTTAGGGTTTAGGGTTTAGGGTTTAGGGTTTAGGGCTTAGGGCTTAGGGCTTAGGGTCTAGGGTTTAGGGTTTAGGGTTTAGGGTTTAGGGTTTAGGGTTTAGGGTTCAGGGTTTAAGGATTTAGGGTTTAGGGTTCAGCGTTCAAGGTTCAGGGTGTTGAGGGTTGAGGGTTTAGGGTTTAGGACCAAACCCTCAACCCTAAATGGACCGCTTCGAGCCCGAAGCCTGTACCTCCACAAGTTCCGGGGCGGGTCCTGCAGTCTCTCCCAGGGGCTTAGGGCTTAGCGTTTCGGGTCTAGGGTTTGGGGTTAGGGACATAGGGGTCCCAGAGACCTTTGCCACAAAAGCTGCGGGTTAGGGTTCAAGAGCTGAGGGCTTACGGGTGTAATTTGGGACCCGGCTTCAGTTCCACAGGTGAATCCGAACAGCATGGCCCAGGAAGTACGTGTGGCCAACAGCGTGAATCCGCTAGGCGTAGTCGTGGCCTTGCAGGCGGCGAGAACGCGCTCGCGCCTGAAGCCGAGGCACATTCGGATAGACATTGGAGCCAGGAGCTGCCTCGATGCAGCTAAAGCATCTTTTGGTTTCAGCTCCAAAGGATACGCGAAGACAAGGCACTGAATTGGTCCGGATCTACCGATGTGGAGCTTTCCCTGAATCTGGTACTCTCATAGGGCCGGCGTCAAGGATCTCAGCCCACAGCGCTTCAAGCTCCCTCAAGACGACGCTTTGATGGTGATAGTTAGGGTGTCAAATGCCCGGGCTTCAAAGACACCGGCCTCAGGCAAGTTCGTTCTGCGGGTTTAGGGTTTAGGGTTTGGGGTTTAGGGTTTAGGGTTTAGGGATATGAGAGCTGAGTTGAAGGTGCTCCCAGGGACCTTTGCCAAGCCTCTTGAGACAACAGCTGATGCTTAGGGTTCAAGAGTTGAGGGTTTTAAGGTGTACATGGGGCTGTTTAAGGGTTTAGGACTAAACCTGAAGCCTCGCCCCCCCTAAACCCTAAACCCTAAACCCGAAACCCCAAACCCGAAACCCTAAACCCTAAACCCTCCCGAGCTGAAACTTGGACAACTAGGGCCAGCGCCGCGTGCCTTTGCTCCGTCTGGACCTGCTCATGTTGCTGAACCCCAAAACCCCAAACCCTAAACCCGTAAATATGGGGTTTAGGGTTTTGGGGTTTAGGGTTTAGGGTTTAGGGTTTAGGGTTTGGAGTTTAGAGTTTAGGGTTTAGGGTTTAGGGTTGGGGGTTTGGGGTTTGGGGTTTGGGGTTTGGGGTTGGGGGTTTGGGGTTTGGGGTAGGGTTTAGGGTGTAGGGTTGAGGGTTGAGGGCTGAGGGTTGAGGGTTGAGGGTTGAGGGTTGAGGGTTGAGGGTTGAGGGTTTAGGGTTTAGGGTTTAGGGTTTAGGGTTCAGGGTTTTTTTACAACCCCAATGACCTCTTTTGGATGTCTAGCGCTTGCTTGGGGCAGGGGTTAGGGTTTAGGGCTTAGGGCTTAGGGCTTAGGGTTTAGGGTTGAGGGTTTAGGGTTTAGGGGTTAGGGGTTAGGGGTTAGGGGTGAGGGGTGAGGGGTGAGGGGTGAGGGGTGAGGGGTGAGGGGAGAGGGGAGAGGGGAAAGGGGTTAGGGGTTAGGGGTTAGGGGTTAGGGGTTAGGGGTTAGGGGTTAGGGGTTAGGGGTTAGGGATTAGGTCAGGGGTGAGGGGTGAGAGGTGAGGGGTTAGGGGTTCGGGTTCAGGGTTGGGAGGGGTTTTGGGTTTTGGGGCTTAAGGTTTACGCACAACTTCGCTGGCCGTCGAAGAGTGCGTAGGATGAGGTTTTGGGCGTCATCCGGTCGCCCAAACCTGCCCCCGAACGAAGTCCGGCGCCCGTTGAATGGGGAAAAAAGGATCGAAGGGCAAGCGGCTGCACATCCTCCCCGCGCTGTGGATGTAGAGCCTTTTCACCCCAAACCCGGAGCAGCGTGAGCCAGCATCCTGGGCTGCAGCCGCTTCATCTTAACATTCCGGGAGCCACGTTCTGAGCCGGTCAGCAAGAGGCACGCGGGCATCGGGGGAGCTCAGCAGCCACAGGCTCCAGTCGTGGGGTGGACGAATTTCCCCCTGCAGAATGGCTGCAATTCGACATGCCCCCGGGCTACATGGCTTGCCCTCCGCACATGCGACACATCTTTATAAGCCCCCGGGCTCTGGATGTCCAACCGGGGTGGCTTGCGGGGGGCTGGCAGCTCTGCCTCGGGGTTTAGGGTTTTAGGGTTTAGGGTTCGGGGTTCAAGGTTTGTGGGGTTCAGGGTTTAGGGCTTAGGGCTTTAAGACCGATAGGCATTGCTTAACTTGGCTGCACTCAGGAGGGTAGCTAAAAATCAAACTTTTAGCTACCTCATTAAGAAACCCAATTAACCCAAAAAGGGTAAGGATCTAAAGTTACAGTAAAGTACCACAAAGTTAAGGGTTCATCCTTGCCTCGGCTGTGACCCAACTCGCCCCGCCGACTTGGACCTTCGGCATCGGAGGAATCAACGAGCAGGGTTTGGGGTTTAGGGTTTAGGAGTTTGAGGTTTAGGGTTTAGGGTCTAGGGTTTAGGGTTTAGGGTTTAGGATTTAGGGTTTAGGGTTTAGGCTTTAGGGTTTAGGGTTTAAGGTTAGGGTGTCAGTTTCAGGGTTTGGGGATAGAAGGTTTAGGTCTGCTTTACCTTCAGAGCCCAGAGTTTAAGTAGAACGCTTTGGGGCTTAGGGTTTTGTTGGGGCCGAGGGGGTTGAGGGCCCTGAATAATCCCTTTTATTAAACCCTAAACCCTAAACCCTAAGCCCTAAACCCTAAACCCCAAACAAAGCGGCTGTTGTTTGGGAAGGCCTTGGGGATGCGAAACGGCTGTGGGGATGGCGCTCCTAAATGGTAAGCTTGGGTTCCTAAACCCTAAACCCTAAACCCCGAACCCAAAACCCTAACCCTAAACCCCACGCACCTCCTCCGAGACCATGTGCGCAGCATCTCTCTTCCCCTGGCGTGGGTTGGGGCTTGGGGCCTTCGGGCGTGGGGGGTACGAGTCTTAATCACTTGGTCATAACAGAAGCTAGCCAGCCGGCCTCGGATGGTTAACTGTTGCTGCTTTTGCTGCGACTACACGCTACAGATTTCCTGATCCACTCATCACTAGGGATCCTAAAGATCGGGGATCAGGTCTTAGGCTTTAGGGCTTCAGGATGCAAGACCACCACCCCCTCCCCTCCCTTGCATCGATTTTTCGGTCGGGCCGATGCCTCTTCGGGCTCCCGCAGTGGCGCGGAAAGCTTGCCGAGAGCTTCCAACAGAACCTTTAGGGTTTAGGGTTTAGGGTTTAGGGTTTTGGGTTTTGGGGTTTAGGGTTTAGGGTTTAAGGTTTAGGGTTTAGGGTTTAGGGAGCTTCCAACAGAGCCTGGCCAAAGGAGCCACAGATGGGCCTTATTCTCAGGGAATCCTACGATTTGGGGGACAACATATTGGGGGACAAAACCCCCAAATTGTCAACTTCAATCTTTGGTGGGTTTCGGCTTTGGGAGGGCCCGAGAGCCGAAGCCCTAACCCTGAAAATCTCCCAGAGCCCCCTCCCCTCCCACACCACCGCCCGGCCAAACAAGAAAAAAACATGAATATGCACATACCCTAAACCCTAAACCCTAAACCCTAAACCCTAAACCCTAAACCCTAAACCCTAAACCCTAAACCCTAAACCCTAAACCCTAAACCCTAAACCCTAAACCCTAAACCCTATCTATCTACCGATGTCTATATCTATAATGAACCAATGCAAATGTCCCCCATCACGCCTGGCGCCGCTCCCGGGCAGCCGCCGCAGCACCAAGGGCGCGGCAGAGGCCCACCTTCCAGCGCTCCCGTCGCAGCCGACTGGAAGAGTCCAGGCCCAGGAGTAACTTAGGACTCAAAAGGGTACCCGGGATTAGAAGGGAACCCCAACCCTAAAAAAAAAGGGAAATAAGGGCCTACTCCGGGTCCTAGGAGCAGAAAACCATCACCCTCAGCAGGGAGGGCGGGGTGTAAGAGGCTTGGGGGTGGCTTGAAGCCCTAGGGAAAAAGAGCCCTGAGCTCTGCGTTTTCGGTTTTAGGGTTCAGGGTTTAGGGTTTAGGGTTTAGGGTTTTGCGGTTCAGAGTAGGGTGCAGGGACAAGGCTTGTCGTTGCAAATTCATAGGAAGTGTCTTTGGGGTAGTTGCAAGGGTCCTTAGTTTTGGGTTTAGGGCTCAGGGCTTAGCGCTTGGGATTTCGGAGGGTGTATTGGAAGGCGCATGGGACTCACTAAGTGACAAAAACTTC